CAACGCCCGGCTAATTTTTTGTATTTTTAGTAGAAACGGGGTTTCACCGTGTTAGCCAGGATGGTCTCGATCTCCTGACCTTGTGATCCGCCCGCCTCAGCCTTCCAAAGTGCTGGGATTACAGGCGTGAGCCACCGTGCCCGGCCGAGAATGCATTTTATACTGGATTATAAGGTTTGAAGAATGCTTTACACATTTTTACACAAGGTGGCATGAGAAATTAAAAATTGTTTTTAATTTTAAAAAAAGAGACTGCTTTACATACACTCTATACTAAAGGAGCTGTATTTCTGACAACGTATGACAGAGGATGAGGGTGGAGAGAGGCCAAAGGAGGCAGAACAGAGGATATGATAATAAAAGGTGCTTTACATACATTCTCTTATATGTTTCTCACAATGACCCTTAAAGTAGAGTCACTGTGGATACCACAGTCTGCTAAACAGATGTGGTCACTACTCTCCTGGAACTGATAGTCTTGCAGTGTAGACAGTCATTAGGTGATCAAGCACACACACTATTACATTTCAGTAAGTGCTATGAGAGTCTTGTGGAACTGGGGAATGTGACCTGAGGAATGTAGATAAAGTGGGTAGCTTTACTTACATTTTACTTGAGGAAACTTAAGTCAGGAAATTTGCTCAAGATTCCACAGTTAATATGTGTGAATGAGTAATGTTTTTTAGTTAGGCCTAGCTTTATACCCTTAGCCCATCCCTTAGTAGCAGTAAATTTAAATGTTTCAATCTGTTGTGGGGTTAACAGTATTTTCTAGTAGAATTGTGAGCATTAAATAAGTGGTAAACTGGCTGGGCGCGATGGCTCACGCCTGTAATCCCAAGACTTTGGGAGGCCAAAGTGGGTCGATCACCTGAGGCCAGGAGTTCAAGACCTGGCATAACCCCATCTGTACTAAAAATACAAAAATTAGCCAGGCTTGGCGGCATACACCTGTAATCCCAGCTACTTGGGTGTCTGAGGCACAAGAATCACTTGAATCTAGGAGGCAGAGGTTGCAGTGATCCTAAGTAGGTAAACTGCTTAAGAGGGTCTGGCAAGGCTGGGCGTGGTGGCTCAAGCCTGTAATCCCAGCACTTTGGGAAGCCGAGACAGGTGGATCACGAGGTCAGGAGATCAAGACCATCCTGGCTAACACGGTGAAACTCCGTCTCTACTAAAAAAAAAAAAATACAAAAAAACTAGCCTGGCGAGGTGGCGGGCGCCTGTAGTCCCAGCTACTCGGGAGGCTGAGGCAGGAGAATGGCATGAACCCGGGAGGCGGAGCTGGTAGTGAGCTGAGATCCGGCCACTGCACTCCAGCCTGGGCGACAGAGCGAGACTCCATCTCAAAAAACAAAAACAAAAACAAAAACAAAAAAAACAGGGTCTGGCAAATAGCAGCTGGAATTAAATTTGGTCCTGTAGACTCCAAAGTCATGCTCTTTACCACTGCACTACATACTCTGTGAAAAGAGCTAGTTAATTTATGTCCAAGCTGGGGCCGGGCACGGTGGCTCACGCCTGTAATCCCAGCACTTTGGGAGGCCAAAGCAGGCAGATCACCTGAGCTCGGGAGTTGAAAACCAGCCTGACCAACATGGAGAAACCCCATCTCTACTAAAAATACAAAATTAGCTGGGCGTGGGGGCACATGCCTGTAATCCCAGCTACTCGGGAGACTGAGGCAGGAGAATTGCTTGAATCCGGGAGGCGGAGATTGCGGTGAGCCAAGATCATGCCACTGCACTCCAGCCTGGACAACAAGAGCAAAACTCCGTATTAAAAAAAAAAAAAAAAAAAAAATTATGTCCAAGCTATGGAATAGTAGGTCTTTCAGATAATGTATTCCACCTATAGTTAAGTGGATAGGCTCTGGAGTCAGAAGGCCTCAGGCATTTTCCTGGCCACCAATGGAACTGTCCCACTATAACTCAGTATCTGTTCACTCTAGCTAACACCATGTCTTCTAAGATCCTGTACACAATCTTGTTCTAAGTCTTAAGAGGAGATACAAAGGAAGAATAATAAATTCATTTAACAAATAATTACTGAGCATCTACTATTTAACAGATCCAGTTCTAGGTTCTGGGAATACAGCAATGCTCCCAATTTAATGGGGAATGCAAAGGAGGTCTTGCTTTTTAAGGGAGGGGAAGCAGGGCCTCCAACACACACCTTTTCTGTTAGGATGACTAGTGTGCTGCTCCATCTGAACACCAACAGGTGTGGTGCCTGGGAAAGAATCATAGCATCAGATGATCAACAATCCATGCTAGTATTTTCACTATGACAATTTCCTAAGTTGTCTCCAGCAGATCTGAGGCTGTTCCCGTCTGCGGAGGAAAAAGTAGGAAACTCTATTTCATGGCCAAACGCGTGACTGTTCTCCTTCACTAGTTTGGAAAACAGTTATTTCTATACCAGTGCTTCCTTTTTTTTTCTGGACAAAATAGTAATTTAACCAAAGCCAAACCTTAAACCTCTCTGATGAACGGGCAATTACTTTCCGTGTTCTCACCATGTTTTAATTTCCACGGTATGATGAGTCCTTCTCCTACCCCGAATGGTAATTTTAAAACTCTGGCTCCCCATCATCTCTAACTAAGACTGAGGACAGCGGGAGAGGGATGGATGTGGGGAAATAAAATCTCAAAGCACCACAGGGAATACTTTTTTTTTTTTTTTTTTTTTTGAGATGAAGTCTCGCTCTGTCGCCAGGCTGAAGTGCAGTGGCACGATCTAAGCTCACTGCAACCTCCGTCTCCAGGGTTCAAGCGATTCTCCTGCCTCAGCCCCCCGAGTAGCTGGGATTACAGACGCGCGCCACCACGCCCGGCTAATTTTTGTATTTTTATTAGAGACGGGGTTTCACCATATCGGCCACGCTGGTCTCGAACTCCTGACCTCAGGTGATCCACCCGCCTCGGCCTTCCAAAGTGCTGGGATTACAGGCGTGAGCCACAGCGCCCGGCGGAAATACTTGGGAAAATATTTTAGATAGGATAACTTAAGGAAACGCAAGCCATCACCCTCCGGTACTGCTCACAGCCTCACTGAAAGCATTTCCTAAGAAGGGAAAAGTCCACACACAGCCATTAGTCCAGATGCGATAAACCACAACTCCCAGTGTGCCCGGAAAAAGGCTGCCCAGTCCGGCACTGTAAGACTACAACTCCCACTTCACCCAGGGCCAAGCCGGCCAGGTCTTCCCCCATCTGCTGCCCGGAGTCCCGCCTCTCTAGTCCACCTATTGCTAAGGCTAGAACAAAAGAGTGGAAACTGTCAAGCCTTTCTTAGCCTTCACGGTCGGATAGGAGCCAAGTCGCAATACACAGTTTAACGACCTCACCTGCGGTGTTAACCGAAAGCCGCAACCCCAGCACCCAACCCTAGAGTTGACACACATGCGTAGTGGCGTGCCGGCCAACTGCCAGAGCCTTGGCGCCTGCGCCGACGTTCGCGCTGCACGCGGCCGGGAGCGGCCACCCTATTGCGCAAGCGCCTGTGCCCTCCCAGTGCCTTCATCGTGCTCTCTCTGCCTAACTTGTCTGGTCGTTCTTGCGTAGAGGGCGGGACTCAGGATGTCAATTGGTCTGTTTTTGTGCCGATCAATGAGATGGGTGCGGTGATTGGTGACTACCTTGAGAGTAGCGAGTTCAGGTGTAAGCCCTGAGGAGGCAGCGTTTTCTGGGTTTCCATCTGGTTCTCTCTCTCCAGAAGATTCTGCCGGTTCCCCCAGCTCTGGGTACCGGGCTCTGCATCGCGCCGCCATGATGGGCCATCGTCCCGTACTCGTGCTCAGTGAGTTCTGGGGATACTAGGAAAGGGACTCCCTTTTCACCCTTCTGTGTCCATGGTTTTCTGTGTTGCCTCAGCTCCGTCCCGCCCTGACCCGGCCCCTGAGCCTTCCAGTCATCATCTTCATTTTGGAAGCCCGGTGTCCCGCTTTCCTTTCTTCCCTTAACCTATTCGCTTCTCTTCACAAACTCAAACTGACCTTTTTCTCGCCGAGCCTCTTTTCTTGACGTGTGCTCGTCTTGGGAAGCTCTTCCCACTCCGCGTTCTGTCCCTCAGTCCCCACGCTTCCCCCGCCGCTGCACCCTTTCTAGCCTGATTGTCGCTATATAGCTGCATGAATAATGTTTTTTGTTTTTCAGTTAGGTCTAGCTTTATATCCTTGGCCCATCCCTTAGTAGCGGTCATTTAAATGTTTCAATCTGTGTTACGGAGTTAATAGTATTTCCTAGTAGAATTGTGAGAATTAAATGAGATAAGTGGGCAGACTGCTTGAAGAGGGTCTGGTGAATAGGTAATATCCTTGGTCACTTTACGTTACATTTATTTTCAGTAACAGTCACTTGAACAGCAACCCCTGTTCCTGAAGTAACCGTACTTGCTTCACTGATCATAGATGTAATCGTTCCCTCCGTGTCCCCGGCGTTGTAATCTTTCCCACTCACCAGTTGGGTTTTCCCAGATTTCTCGACTGGTCATCTTTTCCCTTTGGAAGATCCCTTATTTTTTTTTTCTTTCTATTTTTTGAGACAGAGTCTCGCGGTGTCACCCAGGCTGGGGTGCAGTGGCGCGATCTCTGTTCACTGCATCCTCTGCCTCCCAGGTTCAAGCATGCCTCCTGCCTCAGCCTCCCGAGTAAGCTGCGAGTACAGGCGCGCGCCACCACGCCAGACTAATTTTTGTGTTTTTGGTAGAACTGGAGTTTCACCATGTGGGCCAGGCTGGTCTCCAACTCCTGAGCTCAGGTGATCCGCCCACCTCAGCCTCCCAAAGTGCTGGGATTACAGACGTGAGCCACCGCGCCTGGTCCCTTATTTCTTCTAATGAGCACCACCTCCATTGTCTTCCTTTGATGTGTTTCCATTCTGTGTGTAACTTCTGTACCTCATCTGCAGAGTCTCTCCTCCCTTACCGTCTTCTGTATACTGAATGCCTTTCAGAGTTTTTATTCATTATCTCTGTACCTGGGAAATAACTTTTAAGGAAAAAAATAAAATAAAACTTAACGCTATTTTGGGGAAAAAAAAAAAACAGGTTGGGCGCAGTGGCTCACGCCTGTAATCCCAGCACTTTGGGAGGCCGAGGCGGGCGGATCACAAGGTCAGGAGATTGAGACCATCTTGGCTAACTCAGTGAAACCCCGTCTCTACTAAAAAACACAAAAAATTAGCCGGGCGTGGTGGCGGGCGCCTGTAGTCAGTCCCAGCTACTCAGGAGGCTGAGGCAGGAGAATGGCGTGAACCCGGGAGGCGGAGCTTGCAGTGAACCGAGATCGCGCCACTGCACTCCAGCCTGGGCGACAGAGCGAGACTCCATCTCAAAAACAAACAAACAAACAAAAAACCTTGTTTCTGATGGATTGTAGGCCCATGCGGGTTTTTGGTTACAGCTCCCTGAGATAGATGTAAATCCTAAGCATTGTGGGTGTTTGGTTTGATGGGACTGGATTGAAAGATTTACAGACTTAAATTGTAAGGGAATGTAATTTAGAGAGAGGAAGGAAATAAACATTATGTTGGTTTGGTTGTAACCACTGGCTTGTCTCCACTGGGATGACCTGGGGGTAAGTGGTGTATTTGCAAAGCTCCTTTCAGATCTGCATTAATCTCTGGCATTAGTTGACTGTGACCAATTAGGCTCCCAGTTAAAGTATGTAGTCAGTTCTTAGTGGTGGTAAATGGGTTACTGAGGCCTTCTTATTACACCCAGTTATGAGGTGACTATATAATTTATCTTGCATACTGTTGAGTGTGTTCTAAACAGTATACTGTGGGGGCACTATCACAAATTATGTTGGACCTGTTAGAGTATGATCCCCCTATCCAAGCAGATAATGTGAATCCCCAAACTCTTTCCCTGCTTACATAAAGCAATGAATGGTCATTTCTTAGGGTCACCAGCCCTTTGAGATAAATAGCTGTGGATCCTTTTTCTGGGGAAAAAAAAAATTGCAGTATCTCTCATTTTCTCACATAATCTCAGGGAGTTCACTATCCCATTAAGGCCCATTCATGGATCTCAGGTTATGAATCCCTGCTGTAAATATATGAATATTTGGTTAGAAGATAAGTATTAACCAAGATTGCAAAGTTATTTCTTAATATATCAAGGGTTGAAATACAGAAGGAAGTAAACAGCCATAGGGACATATGTTTCCAGTTTTTTGAGATATGGTTGACATATAATAAACTGCACTTATTTAAAGTGTAGAGTTTGATAAGCTTTGCTCTGTGGATACACCATGAAACCTGCATTCTTATTTTTCAAAGACTGGGAAATAAATAGCTTGGGTACGATGGGGCAGTCCTGGGCTGTTAACTGTTGTGTTTTTATCTGTTTTAGGCCAGAACACAAAGCGTGAATCTGGAAGAAAAGTTCAATCTGGAAACATCAATGCTGCCAAGGTCACAAATCTTTTAAGTGTTTATGGTAGTTTGTCTCCAGCTATCTTGCCTGGTATTTGGTCATAGCCGTGTGTCCTGTGCATCTAGACTTTATAGAGTGAGCAAATAGACAGAGGAAAAGTTGACCTCTTCTTTCAGAACATTTTCCTGATGATGGTGGGGGAAAGGAAGCCCTCCCCTTCCGAGTTAGGACTGATAATCTTCTCATATTGTGCATTATTCTGTTGCTGTATATTGTTTTATAGTATTCTATTTGTGTTTGTCTCCCATACTAAACTGAGTTACTTGAACAGAAGTACTTTATTAATTCCCTTTTGTATTCCTAGTGCCCACTGTAGATCTTGAATAGATATTCGGTAAATGTCTTTTGAATGAAATAGTGAAGTAGCCTTATATCTGATTTAGGATGGTGTAGAGGCCACTGTCATGGAAAGAAATAACTAAGACGTGGACTTCTAGTAATAAGGACTGCTGGGAAACAGAAGCTCTGGGAGCCATTTCCCCCTTACTCTTGTGAAAAGTCATTTCTGTATCCATCCTGAAAGCATTCCCAAGGGGAGAAAAACAACAGAGCTAGCCACATGCTATATCTTTTTTTTTTTTTTTTCTTTAGACGGAGTCTCGCTCTGTCGCCCAGGCTGGAGTGCAGTGGCTGGATCTCAGCTCACTGCAAGCTCCGCCTCCCGGTTTCACGCCATTCTCCTGCCTCAGCCTCCCGAGTAGCTGGGACTACAGGCGCCTGCCACCTCGCCTGGCTAGTTTTTTGTATTTTTTAGTAGAGACGGGGTTTCACCGTGTTCGCCAGGATGGTCTCGATCTCCTGACCTCGTGATCCGCCTGTCTCGGCCTCCCAAAGTGCTGGGATTACAGGCTTGAGCCACCGTGCCCGGCCGCCACATGCTGTATCTAAAGTGGCATGCTGTGTCTAAAGTGATTGCTAACCATGCTTTAGGGGTGTCATTAAAAACACTGACTCTGGCTGGGCGCAGTGGCTCATGCCTGTAATCCTAACACTTTGGGAGGCCGAAGTGGGTGGATCACTTGGGCCCAGGAGTTTGAGACCAGCTTGAACAACATAGTGAGACCCCATATCTAAAAATGAAATGAAATTAAAATAAAATAAAACACTGGCTCTGTGAGTTGTTCGTGCGCCTTTCCCCTATTACTCCAGCATTCTCACACTGTCCTCTGATTTGTGCTTGCATGTTTTATGTTCCCTTTCCATTAGACTATTGCAGATATCATCCGCACGTGTTTGGGACCCAAGTCCATGATGAAGGTAGGCTTATCTCTTCCTAAAACTCTTAGACTACAATTTTTTTCTTCCTGTTATCTAGGACACTTTAAATATACCTTTTGCTTTCATCTTAGATGCTTTTGGACCCAATGGGAGGCATTGTGATGACCAACGATGGCAATGCTATTCTTCGAGAGGTGTGTTTTGTTTTTGTTTTTGTTTTTGTTTTTTTCCTTTTTTCTTTCTGACAGTTCTATAAACATAAGGGACCTATTAAGATACAGGCTCTGATTAGTTTTTTTAGGGCTGCTATAACAGATTACCAGAAACTGGTGGGCTTCAACATTTTTATTAACAACAAATTTATTATCTTATAGAATGAAGCTAGAAGTCTGAAATAAAGGCGTCAGCAGGGCCATGCTCCTTCTGAAGTCTCGGGAAAATCCCTGCTTTTCTTCTCGCTTCTAATGGTTGCTGGCTTTCCTTGGCATGAACTTGGTTTCTGCCTCAGTCTTCATGTTATTCCCCTTGTGTGTCTTTTACACAAGGACACTGGTGATTGGACTTGGAGCCTGCCCTAATTCACAATGACCGTATCTAACTTGGTTACATCTGCAAAAACCCTATTTTAAAATAAAGTAAAATTCACAAGTTCTGGGAGTTTTGACTTCAGTATATCTTTTTTTTTTCTTTTTTGAGACTTAGTC